GAAACCCCAAAGGGATAAAGAGTTGGGGGGGGGGGGACGGGACGGGACAGGACTGTCTCAAGGGCCACCTCCTCCCCTTTGAATCTGCTTGACTGGTGAGATCAAGCTTTAGAGACTCACTGAGCAACTCCTGCTTTACTAGGTTAGGGTTTCTAACTGGCGCTGCATGGATCCTTTCTGGAATTTCTGAGCTCCTTTTGCTCTTTAATTTTGAATAGGAAGACAGGAACATTTAAAATAATAAATCTGCAAGCTGGGACGGCATACATGAAATGCCAGCCACCTCTTCGACTCAAGAGATTTCCCTTGCAGAGAAGCATGCCCCCCCCCACAACAACTTGTCAGCTCACAACTCATACAAATGATCATTAAAGGCAGCACACCCAAACTTCCCAATTTGGCAACAGAGGAATAAAATAAGGACAGTGATTTACCATGGACAGGTACTAGACAGCCAGCCCCGTAGCCAGGAGTTTGTGGCTCGTGGGGCAAAAATTCTTCTGGTGGGGCTGCCCTTATTTTCCATAATGAAGCAGGGGGGTGGGCGTGCGCACCTCTCCCTCCCCCCCTACAAGATATAAAGGGCTCTTCAGCTGATCGGCAGGGAGCACAGGGCCCACCGATCAGCTGAAGGGCCCTTTAAATCTTGCAGGGGGAGGGAAGGGGCATGTGCCACCCCACTTTTTTCTCAAAAGAGATCCTTTAAATGCTTTTGAGAAGAAGCGGGGGGGGGGCTTTAAGAAGCAGGGGTCCTTTAAGGAAGGGGGCTGGCCCTTTAAGGAAGGGGCGGAGCCCCCAATAACCCCACCGTAGCTATGGGCCAGTAGACAGCAAAGACCAGTATATGTGTGTGTGTGTGCTTGCATGCCTGGAAGTCATGGTGACTTCTGGCGACCCCTACTGGGGCTTGGACATTTTCAGAGAGGTGGCTTGATACGCCTGCCTCTGCATCTCAGCCCCGGTATTCCTTTGGAGGTCTCCCTTCCGAGTCCTTGCCAGGGTGGGCCCTGCTTAGCTTCTGAGATCGGGCTTGCCTGGGCTACCCAGGTCAGGGCAGCAGAGACCAATATTGAAAGAGATGCAACTACAGAATGAAAAAGCAAAGCATTTGGTTCAGGTGGGCAGCCATGCTGGTCTGCAGTAGAAGAGCAAGATTCAAGTCCAGTCGTCCATTAAAGGCCAACAAGGTTTCCAGGGTATGAGCTTTGGAGAGTCAAAGCTCCCTTCATCAGATGCCACAGAGGCAAAAAGACCAACTGAGTCCTATTGATTCACCTGCAAGAAAGGCCTTTCAACACCCCCAGCCCCAGAATGCCCTATTCCGCTGGGGACCACTAGCCAGCCCTGACAACACACTGCACCCCTAGAAATACCACTTCATATACGTTCATTAAAAACAGACGTTGAGTGATAGGCATTTCAGGCAAGCTTATGCACCGCTTTTAACAATTTGGCAGAGAACGGATGCTAAGGTCTCTTTCACAGACACCTGAGGACTCCGCTGAGCCAGGAAATGGTGGACCAGGGAAGATGCAGCGTGAATCAGATTGCCTCTGGGTTGCAGCAGAGTCTGCCGGGTCAACTCCTCCACCCTCGCCCTTTCCCCTTGCACACCCTCCACAATGGCTGTTATCAACAAGTGAACATAAGAACGTAAGAGAAGCCAATGTTGGATCAGACCAATGGCCCATCAAGTCCCAACATTTTTAATGTTCTTGTAAGCAAATATACAATAAATAAAGAGGTCCAAGCAGTGGCTGAAAGCGCCTCCTCCCGCACTCCAAGTAGCCTCTCTGCAGAAGAGGCGAGGGAGCCGTCCTTCAGCTGCCCGAGGGTCTCTCTCCCGAGCTGGCAGGAAGCTGGCTCAGTGCTTCACAGTGCTGTTGATGTAGGACTCCAGGAGGAAAATGGTCTCATCCACTTGGTTCTCACTGGCATCAATCCTTTCAGGGAGGAAAAATTATATATATATAAATGTATAAGACAATTACATGGTTTGCTCTCAAATAGGAGAGGCTCCCTCTCACGTACTAGGGGAGTTATTTTGATGCCTAAGCAATAGCTTGGTTGAGAACATTGGCCAGATACTATCAACAGGCAACTTACTTTTTCTCCCGGCACCTAAAGCAATATGTGCCTGTCCAACTCCATAAAACAGCCAGAGGGTTGGATTCTACAGATCTGTTCTGCTAATGGTGGCACTTCTTCCTGGCCCAAGGACCCTTCCCCCCACCCCTCCTGCCAGCAGGAAGTTCTCCAGGAGTGGCTAGTCAAAGAGACTGCCAAAATTGGACAAAGCTTCACCAAAGAAATGAGCATAATTAGAAAGAGCAATTTTAAGAAAATATATACATTCCTGGGTTAACTGGGAGACATACAGACTTTGTTTATAATATGCTACAATGCATACTGTGAATTTATTAAAAAAAGGAACAGGAATGTGCTTTTAATACAAATACTTCTGAATCCAGGCCTTAATGATGTTATTTGTGGACACACCCACCTCCTGGAAGCAATAAAGGCCCAATTTGCTTGTGGTTTTATAAAGGCTTTCCCCCCAATTGTTGGTGATAATTCCGGCTCACCACAGGTGTTCGGCCCTCTGCCAACAACAGGAGACGCAACCAAACCATTTGAAATGTTTCATGTCCACACGTCTCATTTTGTTTATCCTGCCCCTTCTCTAAGGAATTTGGGGTGGTTCTCTAGCCCTCAAAACCCCCTTAACCTCTCAAGAACCCCACGGAGCAAGTTGGGTGGAGGGAGACTGTTTGGCCCACGCCACTGGAGCTCAAGTGTGCCTGAAAGCCACATACATGGGCCCGATCTATACCTGCTGCAGAATACTGTAGGTTGTTGGAGAGCAGCATTGCGGAGGAGGAGATTGGATTTATACCCTGCCTTTCACTCGGAGTCTCAGAGCGATTTACAAAGGAAGAGGTGGGGGATATAAACCGCATTTTAAATTATCTTCTACATTAAAAAAAAAACCCTCACTGCAGGTAGAAACACCAGCATAGAAAGAAGCGAAGTGCCTGGAAACTCCATCCCCAATATGCTATTTTCCTAAACGAAAGAAGCACCCGGAAGTGCAATCTGAAGCATCCACCCACAATCCGAAGTGGTACAGCCCACCCCAGCACTTCATTCTGCTGCCAGCTAGGCCAGTCCTGAAGCTTTGGTTCTTACATCTCCAAGTGCCTTTGGCTGTTCTCCCTCCCCTGCAGTGGAGCAGGCAAGAGCCCCTCCCCCATTCCCTCCCTCCCTCCTCTCTGCTCACTTGTTCACATTGTGCTTGAGGCTCTCCAGCTGCTGGCGCTCCGGGGCTGTGATCATCTCCTCAACCTCTTGCAGCTGCGCCTCCTCTGCGCCCGTCGCCTGCATCGACGCAAGGATGGCCTCCACCCGCTGGGATTTTTCCAGCAGACGCCTGGGGATGGAAATACATGGAGCTGCCTTATACTGGGGCCAGACCCCTGGGTTTTCAAGGTCAGTCTTGTCTACTCTGACTGGCAGCTGCTCTTCGGGGCTCAAAGCAAGGGGTCTTCTGTGTTACCTACTCCCTGGTCATCCTTACATTAGCGATGCCAGGGACTGAACCGAGGGTCTTCTGAAGTAAGGACTCTACCACTGATCCATGACCCCTCTCCCCCCCCCCCCCAGCTCAGGTGAATACTTTGGTCTAATCATGGCTGAACGGAGATGTTGTGGTGTTTGAGGTGGAAAATCTGACAAACCCCCCCCCCAATTTATTTTTTTAATCCAGGA